GCGGCGCGTCATTGGAGTTGTCTTGAGGCCCAACCCCGCTGACGGCTAGACGAACTTTGCGGGCAAGAATGCCGCTCTAGAGCACTCGTGGCAACGTGCTTCTTCGCTAGCTATGAAGCACATCACTCGCTAGCTCCTCAGAACTGCGCACAGGCATTTTACGCATCGGGAGCAGACCCCTCTGTCAAGCTCATCCCCCCCCCCTCCTCCTCCTCCTCCTCCACGGCCAAGGATTGCTCGGAACAGCGGCTAGCAGTTTCGCTCGTCGGCGTTTGGAAATGCGACACCAAGCGCTGTGAGCGCCAGTTTTTTGTCATCATCGATGCACACTTGGCACACCGTCACCGAACGCCGCCAACATCACAGGCTGCGCTGTCCATGCGGCCGCGCACTTCATGGTCATATGGAAGGCCGTCAATAAGCTTTTGTGGTTCAATTTAGACGTGCTTGGAGCCTTGCTTGATATCGCCGTGAGCGTCTATGAATGTTCTGAAACTATGAAAGCCTCGTAGATTAGCGTTTTCGCCACTGGCCATATGATGATGCATTTCACGGCTAGAGTGGCAAAATGAATGTAGGAAGCAGTGGCACGAGGTTTCATATGCCCGATTCGCATCATTAAATAAACTCCTAAAAAAATTTCTGTGCCACCAGTTTTCCGCTCATAACCGTTAGCCATTTGGAAAGAAGGCATAGGCTGTCATGGTGTGAGCCATTTTTCTTATGCTCTAAACGTAAAAAAAAATGTCCAGTGATTATTTTTAATCAAGAAGTACCTAATTATGCTAATGACAGCTTGAACACACAAAGAAAGTCTAAATATTTCAGTATATGGCCTTATTCAATTACAGTATATTCTGTCAATCCTATTATCACACCACTCCTTGATATAGAGAACTTGGTTTGAAATCCATATTTGTTCTTTGTAAATAAAAAAATTATTAAAAAGTTATAGGCAACAAAGGCACACTGGGCAGAGGCCAGATGTCTGAGAAGTCAAATATTACAAGACGAACCTAAGATCACAATTTCTAGGTGTTTTAGAGACGTGAAGAGAAGGTGAAACTTCAAACGCAGTTTTCTCAGTACAGTTTACAAAATTCCGTGCGCCGAGTGCCTCTTGTCGTATATCGGCGATACATAAAAACCTACCGGAACGACTGAAGCAACACGCCAACGATGTGCGGAAGTTCTACAAAGAGTGCAGTGTAGTCGCCGAACATGCTGAGACGTTGGATCACAAAATAAATTTCGAAGCAACGGCCATCCTTGAAAGCGAGCCAAACTGGAGGAAAAGGTTGTTACTCGAGTCCTGGCACATACAGAGGACAGTCCATAATATCAATTGCTCTCTCGGAACTTTTCCCCCAGTGTACACACACGGACTGCGCTCCACGGCAAAACGAGAGAGAGAGAAAGAAAGAGGGGGTCATTAGCCACCCCCACGAGTGCTTTGAAGACGCCGCTGCTATGTAGTCTCCGCAGTCACCCCTGAGGAAGGAACCGAGTCGGTTCTGAAACGTCGGGTTTCTTCAAAACTTTTGGTTGAAGTCTAAATCATCTCCCAGTTTCATACCCAACCAGACAGACTTCTGTTGAATGTTTACTTTCAAGTCAATCAGCCAAGACTTTGGACACGATACGACGCAGCTCGTTAAGCGCTACATACGCATTAAGGAAGGCATCTCAGTCTTCAAGACTCATGTCGACTTCAGTCGCAGCTTCAAAGAAAGGAAAGTCATTCCTCAAAGCCTGTGCCGATTGTCCGTACTCGTTGCACTGGCATTTTGGTACGAGCATGCATCTTCCGCAGCTGTCCCGTTGCAGACGAAGTGCAAAGCGGCAACAGCGCGCATGGCCCACCCGGCGAGAGCGAGCACTCGTTATTGGGAGGCAGACCGGCGGGCCTGTACCCCACGAGACGGCATTGCAGCCGCATGCGCGGGTGTGCACCCCACCCCTCCAAACCAAAATACGAAAAAGAAAAGAAACTACTTTTGCGTGTTGTCAGTGCCACGCTTTTAGTTAGCGTCACATGTGTAGGGCCCCACTACATATGAATTCTAGTCTGTCTGCCTCGTTCATTCTTCATTTTCGAGGCCATGTGTACGTGCATAGTATTTTCTTATGCGCGCGCATGTTGTGCCCCCCGTCGATGTTCAGCTTCGCATTTTTTTTTATTGCCAATTACATGAGCAGTCTTGACTTTTTTAGCCGTCGCCGCAGACGTCACCGTATATGTGTATGTATGTATGTATGTATGTATGTATGTATGTATGTATGTATGTATGTATGTATGTATGTATGTATGTATGTATGTATGTGTGTATGTATGTGTGCGTGTATATGTACACACACACACACACACACACACACACACACACACACACACACACACACACACACACACACACACACACACACACACACATATATATATATATATATATAATTGCAGCAAGGAATTAACGCTGGCCCCGGTAGAATAAAAAGAATAGAGTACGATGCATGTTGGTTTTGCACAGTATATTAGCTGACATTTCGGCAGTATATATATATAGATACAATCAAGCCCACATATAACGGCCTCACTTAAAATGAACTTTCGCTTAAAACGAACAATACCCGTGTGACCGTGAAAATATACATTGGTTCAATGGCACAAAATCGCACTTACTACGAACCTCTCCGAGCGCCGCTGATCGGTTACAGCGAACAGAGTCAGCGCTCTGCGGACTTCCTGGGAAACCAGATCAGGCATCGGCGAGGTGCCCATACATTCTTAGTGTTAAACGCTGACCCAGCCTCTCCAACCCTCTAGTTGCCGCTCTCCCCAACCGCTTTTTGTTACCCACCCCTCCGTCCTTTGTCCCCCCTGCTACTCTGAGCACCCCACATCGCCAGACGAGGTCCGCGTTTTCACACTGCCACCGATCTTTTGAAGACCAGTTGGCCATCTCCCCTGTTTTTGATCGCTGGTATTGTCATTGGCGTTGCCGGCCTGGAGTGACCAGACCATTTGCCAATACCGTTAGCCATCTACTCTATCCAATCATCTGCATCTAGTGCACACGCGTATGCTACCCCACCAATTCTGATAATTCGCGATTCGTTTTGTGTTTAGGACCTGTTCTCGCTCACTTCGCACTCGCTCACTTCGCACTCGGCCTTGCAAACACGCCGGCGCAACAATCGATTTTCTTTACCACAGCCGCGCACGCCAATCCAGGCAGCTGTTTTTTGATCTCTGCGCGCAGAGTCACTCTTTTATGTTTTAGCTAGTGCGAGTGGCACGTTTTGCGTACCTTTCAAGCATGCTACCTGACTTGCCTTATCCCCGCGTGTTTTGGTTTTCAAGGTCACCCTCCCGATGTATCCTACCCTTTCTTTCCTCTATCACGACTCCTTGCCCTTCTCTCGCAAATTGGCTCTCCTCTCTTGATCACAACCCCTTCGCCCGTCACCACCACTCTGCGACACCATCCACGCTGGCTCGAATTCAGAAGTTTTGTTTTCCAACTAGAAACGGGCCCAGAGCTGTACCACGCGTTCTAGCATGCTTGTCGCGTGTGCGTGTCTTGCTCGCTCTTAGTCTTCGTGTGTGGTCAGGATGGCAGACAGGAGGACTTGCACGCTTTTTCCTGCTGCTCAACGAAACGTCGTAAGTGTGACCGCTTGGCTTCGGCGTAATCCGTGCGTTAGGTGCCGCGTTGCGGAGCGCTTGCTCATAGCTGTTGACCACCTGGCAGCAAATTTGCCGCATCGGGCGTCCCGGTATGCAGCTGTGGAGATGGTGAATATTTCGTGGGTGGCGGTGACGGCTATATACATGCGAAACTATTTTCGCGAGGCCAACTTAGTCGACGCCGGGCCCGATGCCGAGCCTGAAGCTTCCGAACATAACCACTGCGGCAGCGATTTGTGGCAGCGCGTCGTCGACTCCGACATTAGGGAGCGGGTGGGACATCTGTTGCAATGTTTTCAATATGGGCGATGATGATGCCGACACCGCAGAACCGTGCATTGTAAATGAAGTACGCGGCAAGAGGGATTAGAAGGAATCAAATTGCGAGAAAACGACGAAATTTTGGAGCCAGTGCCTCGTGCAGCTTATGCTATGGGCCTCGGTGGACGAGCACGCTGCCGTTTGAAATAAACTCGGCACCGCCCTTATCCCTTCTGCCCTTCTAAACACATCCATCACATACTTTTCTGGGCAAAAAAAGTATGTGTTTTCACTCACAACATTTTTAAAAAGCTGTGTTTCATTTACTACGAACTTCGGGATACAGCAAACTGACGCCGGGTCATGCTCAGGTTCGTTATAAGCGAGCTTGACTATTTAATAAAAACCTGAACTTCAGGTTGTCGTTCAAGTGCCAAGTTATTTTTCAGGTTGTAGTTCTGCACGGGGTCATTTGGTGGTGTGTAAAGTGTTTTTGAGCAGTCGGGAAAAAAAATTTTTGTTTTTTTAAGCTGCTACACTGTTTAGACGTTTTGTGCCTCCCCCCCCCCCACCTAGAAAAGAAGGAAACCATCAGTAACTGTGCAAAAGAGTTTGATTTATGTTTTACCATAATGATTCAAATCGTCAACTTTATTGACTTCACTATATTGAAATTTAATGGTACTTTCATGTAATATTTGACATTAAGCTTCTCTTACTGGTAATTCAAAGAAGCTTAGTGGCAGAATGCTTCGACTACTAATCAACACGAACAAGGACACAGAGAAAGAGAGGGAACAACTGCTAGCATATTCTGTCTAGTGGTTGTTTAGCAGGACAACCGCTAGCGGTCCTGTCTCTTTCTGTGTCCTTGTGCACATTTGCTGGTCCATATTTGCTAGTGAACATAAACAAGGACACAGAGACACATGCTGTCTCTTTCTTTGCGTTCACTAATCATATGGAAGCATTCAATTGATGCCAACTAGTCCAGCTGAATGCATTAACCCACTGGCAGATTTTACTGATCTTTGTCGCTTGATTTGTGTTGCAGAACATCTGGCAACAGGAACATGTGAGCCTGTGGCTTCGGCCGTACCGCATTCTGGTGACGTCAGCGGACAGTGGTCTTGTGGAGCCCATTCTGGACACCATGTCTCTGCACCAGGTCAAAAAGCACTCGCAGCTCTCGCTGCTTCAATACTTCGAGCAGCAGTTTGGGCCACCAACCAGCGAGGCCTTCCTGAGTGCACAGCGCTGCTTTGTGGAGAGCTGCGCTGCATACTGCCTTGTCTCCTACCTCATACAGGTCAAGGACAGGTGGGATGGGGCTCTCTTCTCGTCCATCACCAAATCGATACATTACGCGCCTCCTGGCTAAAAGACGCACCCATTTAACCTATAGGTTTCATATCCTGAAAAATGACAAAAAAAAAAGTAACGAAAATCGCGTTTATGGGTCCTAAGGAGGAATATCAATTTGAAATATTCGTATTGATTTAAAATTTTTGAATTCGAAAATTTCAAATATTTGAATAACTTCAAATATTCAAAAAATTCGATTATTCGATGTGACCAACGTGCGGCAAAAACTCATTTTTCATATTTCCGCAGCGTACAAATAGCTAAAAACATTGTCGAAAGCAAAGATAGACATCAAAAGTGCACAAGGCACGATGTCTGCTAACGATGAGCGTGCTGGTGCAACTGCGATAATGTAGCCATACGTTATCAATATTGGGCGGCCATAATGTGCCTCACTATCAGTCGTTCACTATGCAGGACTTCGTAAGCAGAAACAAGTGCTAACCGCTGCCACATCAGACATAGCTAAATAACGCATTATCATCTGTGTGCTAGACCTGAAACATCGTCATTGACGGCACACGCTTCGATTAAAAAACATGATTATGAAGCGACAAAAAGCATTCGAGTAATAATGGGCCTTTTCTGGGTAGGTAATGGGCGCCAGCCTCTAGGGGGCACGCATCATAATTTTTGGTGGCCAAAACGTTCCGGCACGTGCAGACCAAGCAACATCTGGTGCTGAAGGAAGACAGTGACCCATGTGAGTGGTGGCGGACTGTAGGCACTTACAGGTACCGCAGTCTGGCAAAGCTTTGCCCCACGTACCTCCCTATACTGGCCACTGATATTCCAAGTGAGCGTGCCTTTCCAGTGGCGGGGGGGGGGGGGGGGGGGGGGGGGGGTAGTCTCTGTTAGAAGGGAGTGCCTGCTACCTGATCATGTGCAGCAACTCATATTTATGACAACATTTAGTGATTACTTTCATTGTGCTTGCGTTGTGCTGTGATGTTGAGTGTGCTAGCCTTGACATTGTGTTTTGAACCAGATAGCAGTTTGTATTGTGTTTATGTATTTATTTTTCAAATAGCTATATGTTAAATAAGATATTGTCACTGTGGGGGCATTATTCTTCTGATATTCAATATTCAATGCAATATTTAAAGGTGGGTATTTATATTCCATTTGTATTAGAAAAATTTAAAATTTTGTATTTGAAAATTCACACCCCCCTAGTTCTAAGGGCTCACATTTTTGTTAAACACGACGCTGTTATGGACAGTGAAGTCTAGGAAAGTATACAAGGTATGCGCTTGACGTCATCCATGAGGACTGCTATCTAAGCTCAATTGGTGGAGAATTGGCGGAATTGGCCGGCAAGTTACTTGAAGCTTGCATGTTTGGTCCCTGCTGAATGCAACTTGTCTTTTTGACCAATTTGATGTCGTTGTAAGCGTTACTATTTAGCGCATAGATGTGTGTGTGTAAAACTGTCCCGGGTTTGGTTTGCGCCACGCATAAGTGTAGTGGCCGTCACACGCTAGCAATATACAGCGGTCCTAGCAGTCAAAGCCAAATCCTTGACACGTGGTTCACATTGTGTCGCGACCGCAGCAGTGCAAATACTGCAAATCCAAAGGGACGCTAAGGTATCTGTGTGGGGAGCAGGAGTTCAGCAGGTTGAATTTTTTAATTTCTTCTCTAGGATTTGGCATTTCATTATATTTGGACCTAAACACTTAACGCATTCATTGTCAAAATTCATTGCTATAACTGCTAATGTGGCATTCAAGCATTGCTGTAAGTGGGTTATTTTACTATATAAAACATACAAAAGTTAACGATGCAGCAGCTCCTCATTGCTATAAATGATGTATTTTTAAAACCGGTGTCATTATAAGTTGGTTCAATTGTATAAACAAAATGAAACGGCCAAGAAGTTTCACATGGGTAATGTAAAACAACAAGTAGAAAGCACAAGAGAGAGTGATAGTGGCTTGTACTCGCCTCTCAGGGCTTTGCACTCTGGCCCTGAGGTGGTAAGTCACATGCAACAAGATTGTGGTTTGTAGGGGGTGACTGAGGCTGTAAGGCTGCCAACTTGATAGAGCTGTGTCTGTCCTGGCTTCCCAAGTTGAAAGACGAGGACACCAAAAAGTCAATGTGCATTCCTTGGGGCATGAAGGGAGTGTCGCAGTGCCCTCCTTCTCCTACATAACCCCTTTCCCATTACAATTGTGTGCAATCCCAAAACATTTATATCATCACATCCTATACTTTTTTTTTGCTTCATTGTCTGTTAGTTACACATAATTGACTTTTGGCTTCTGTAACCCCTTTTCTCTGAGACAGCTTAGCTGGAAATCATGGAGAAGTGGTTTAAAAGTTTTATCAGCCCACCAAGGTGCTGAAAAGTATTGTGTAAATTTATAAAAAATATTTTTTAAAAGCTGTAGCTGAACGGCGGCAAACTGTGTTCAGCCATCTGTGTTTAGATGATCGGTTTTACCGAGTTCTGCTCATCAGAAACAAACACTCTAATTGTCTGTGTCTGCCGTGTTGCTGTAGCATGCCTCGCCATTGGTCTAATGCTTGCTTCGGGAGCGTTGCCCTCAATTTGCGTGTTGCAGGGTCACAGCTGTCATAAGGGGCACTACTTAGATGCATGTCTTGTTGAAACATCCATTCTTGTTTCACTGCTTGCACTTTTCATTCCAGATTCTTGTGATGTGCTCGCCTACCGTAAATACCCACATATAATACGAGGTTCTTTTCCTAATACAGTATAAGCTCGTTAACCCGGATCTCACAACACCCATGAAAATGTCCAAGTTAACTGAATTTCGGGTTATCAAACAAAGCACCAAAACAAAAGGAAAAGGTACTCGGCACAGACAAACCTTTATTTCATGAAAAACTGCGTCAACTTAGTCTGCCTCGTCGTCAGAGTTAGTGCTAGAATGATCTTCTTCAATGCCATGTGGTGGTGATGTGCACGCTCGCTGCCGCGAGAACTGATGCAGAACTCCGCGAGGACAGCGAGGGCTTCGGCGGCGTCCTACACAGTGTGTGATCTCGCGTTGGGTGATTTTGAATGTCATTATCAGAACAGTGATTCTGATCCTCTTCAAGCGCTTCTGATAATATGTCATTATCAGTCAGCAAATCAGCAATGGCCACACCATCATCAACACACACAAACTCAACCTGAGAACGTAACGAGTGTTTCTATGTCAAAGCGCCAACTCTCCCAATGGTCAACGGTCAAATGTACCCGAGTTGCACATGCTATGCGCGAAGCCTCAACGCAAAGAAATCAGCAGCGTAGGCGTCATGGGCAACTGTGGTAGCGGAGGCTGCGCAAACTCTCTCGTCAAGGCGCAAACTGTCCTGTGCAGTGCCATATGCAGCGCGATTTGCAGACACTGGATGCACCGGTGGCCCAAGTGCTTCTGCCGGGTGGTGAATAGCGCCACCTGGCCGCTTCCCCCTCATTCACTATCATCATGATCACATTCTGCTGCTGTTCGTTCGGTTTCGGTTTCTCCAAAACTTCGGTTCTGCTGTCGGTTACAGCGACGGAGGCGTGACTTCATGCTTCTAGTAACCGGAATCGGTTACATAAAGCATGAAGCCCCGACAGCCCTCTCTGGAGTCGTACGAGTTAACCGGTGCGCATCAAAATCCCTCCGAATTAACCAGCTTTTGACACCATTGAAATATACGCAGTTTTGCTGGGACTGCGCCACGTGTCTAAGTTAACCGAATTGCTGAGTTAACGAGATCTGGATAAATGAGCTTTCACTGTACTAGTGTTCCGAATTTCCGCTTTGTACTACACTAATATGTTTGGTTTCGTACTTGAATATCATACCCTTGTTTATCTCTCAGTAAATGAAACTCCTTTTGAACGAAACACATTTTCCTAGTCCCTTCAGGTTTCGTCTAAAAAGGAGTCTACTGTATGTGCGGATCCGAACAAAAACTTGCTCGAAAAACGAAGTTGTCCTGGAAGTTGCGATTTAGTAACTGCTGCGTGGCTATGGCTTCATTTTATGTACGAGTGGCTACGGCTCGGCTTTATTACCGTCGCGCTCTCGCACGCTATTTCTTTCTTTATTGTTGAGTTTTTTGAGCGTGTAGCTTGACAGCGGACGTGTGCAGGTGTGAACCTCTCTCTGTAAAGGTGCAACTTGCCAGGGCATCGAAAAGAGTACTCGGCTGCATTCAAGAGAAGCGTCATCACAGCTGCCGAGGAAATCGGCTACAGTGTGGCCGGGAGACAGCACAGAGTCACCGAGATAAGTGAACCTAGGTGGCGAAGACGAAAAGGAGCACTTTTCGCGTGCAGCGGAAAGTGAAGAAGCTTTCGCGGTTCAAAGAAAGGGGCTTTTAAAAAGATTGAACTCGCCCTGACAGGGTTCGTTCCAGAGCAGAGGGCGGCGCACTTGCCAGTGAACATAGAGCTTATGCAGATGAAAGCAAGGGAGCTGGCGAGAAAAAAAGGGATGTCAAGCTCGAATTTCAAAGCCAGCAAGCACTTGATCTGCCGTTACATGCGCCGAGCTGGATTTTTTTTGCGCCGGCGAACCTCGATTTTTCAGAAGCTCCCTGAAGCCTTTAAAGAGCTTCTTGTCTCATTTCAGCGCCTTGTTATTATGTTGTGCCACTCAGAAAACTTCTAGCTGGGACAAATCGGCAGTGTGGATTGAATGCCAGTTTGCCTGAACATGTCATCGTCCCTCACTATTCACAAGAAGGGCTCAAAACAAGTTATTGTCCGTACCACCGGCAATGAAAAAACGCGTGTCACAGTCATGTTGTCGTGCACGGCGTGCGGCAACAAGCTCCCACCTTATGTCATGCTCAAGCGCAAGACAATGCTAAAAGGGGAGGAGCTGCCGAAGATTGTCATCGTGAGATGTTACGATAAAGGCTGGATGAACGAAAACCTTGTCCTAGACTGGGTAAAGCTCATGTGGGGCAGACGGTCTGGCGCCCTGTTGTCTCTCCCATCCATTCTGGTCTTGACGTGTTTCGCTGCCATTTGGCCCATTCAGTGAAGAGGCTCTTGCGGCACGGAACTGTTCGTTACCTCGAGTGGTATGAAATCTCAACTGCAACCTCTCGACCTTTGCGTAAATAAGCTATTGAAGGATGCGTTGCTACATGGAGTGGATGCAGCTGCAGTGACGCTGACCGGGCGGCTGAAATGGGCATTGCCAGCCACGCTATGCAAATGGATTGCAGATGCTTGGTCAAACATCGCTGAGGACCTTGGGCTTTGTTCCTTCAAGAAGTGCAACATTTCTAATGCCCTCGATGGCACAGAAGATGAGCACCTATTTGACGATTAGCAGGATAAGGAAATGTTCGAGGAAAGCGCAGTTGAAGAATACAGCGATGGACACGGCGGATGTGTGATCAATAAATGTATTTTATAATGAATTGTTGCTTTTTTGTTTCGCACCCCTAAACTTTGATCTTGTAATATATTCAGGATTGTGTTATATGGGGGTATTTACAGTACTTTGTAACTTCTTTAGTTGAAAAAATTTTCGCACCTAGAAAGGTACATGGAGTGGTCTGACTCTTTCACACGTACTAAAGCAATAATTGCATACTTGAAGTGCACAAACTTGGCAAGCTTCACTGAAATTTAAAAACCCATGTCCCCCTCAATGTGAACCTGAGTGTAAACATTCTGCACGATTTCACAGCCAGGAATCCAGCCCAGGAATCTTGTGCTCCACGTTTGAGTGTGTCTAAGTGCGATCTCTTTACTGTTACTGTTAGAAGAACATTTCTGTAGCTTTACTTTGTTTGGCAGGCACAATGGAAACATCCTGCTCGACGGGGAAGGCCACATCATACACATTGATTTCGGCTTCATACTTTCTTCATCACCCAAGAACCTTGGCTTCGAGAGCTCCCCATTCAAGTTGACGCAGGAGTTTGTTGATGTAAGAAATTTTTTAATGTATTACTTCTACTGACGTCCCAGCTCTCTGTTCTGTTTTGTGATGTTGCCTTTTAGCTTAGCGTTGAGGAGCATGTGACCGAGAATATCTGGTGTCGTCGGTGATAGCAGCGTGAGGGAGAAACCCCAGTGGGCGCAAAGTATAATAGTCTACATTCAAATCTAAATCAATGCCAGGCATGGCGTTCAAGCCACACCAATGAGACACCTGAGAAACAAGTATAATATTAAAAAAATGCTCTTTCACAATCCCGAAATGAACATGCCTGCCACTCCGCAGGTCACAGGATTGAATTCCAACTGTATTTTCAATGAAGGCGAGAATGCTGTAGGCCCGTGTACTCAGATTTGGGTGCACATTAAAGAACCCCAGGTGGCCGAAATTTCCGGAAATTTCCACTACGGTGTCTCTCATAATCGTATGGTGGTTTTGGGCTGTTCAATCCCACATATCAATCAATCAATCAATCAATCAATCAACATGCCTGCTACTGGAAGGCACTATCTAAAGGAAAAAATGCGGGAAAATAAAATGTGTGGCAGCGTGACCTTGATATTCCTGTTCCAAGGACCATGACGTCATATTTTAATGGTGTTTACTCCATGGTGCACAGTTCCTTATTGGCACATAGGAAATATGCTCAAGCCTTATCATAGCGAAGTAGCATATCAAAGAGAGATAAGTTCACGATGTCCGAAATGTTGTTATAAAGATATAGTCCTCAAGCTGCACTTATGGCAAGACTTTTCTTCATTTGCTTCATTATAGCCAGTATTTCATTCTGTGTTTGTTATACAGTGTAAACCACTCATAACGAAACATCTTAATGTGCAAGAGCGGTTACAATGTGGTCGTTTTCAACTCCCGTTCACCGTAAAACCCCATGTATACCGCTTGTTGTGCAGTCTCCCAAAATAAAGGACCGGTTATAATGGCGTTGCTCGAAAATAATTGGGACAAATTGTGTTTGTCACAAAGTTCTGAAAGGAGGTGCAGTGCTGCATAGCGAGCGACGATGTCCTGACGTAGAGTGAACGAAGGAAGGGAGAAAGAAGAAAAGAATAAAATGACTGACTTTGGGAGGAAGGCTGTTGCACAGGCGATGAATGAATGTTTGCACAGACTGGCGCTGCGCAGCTATAGTGTACTCATGTGGCTACGGCTGCTTGCCGGCCACGCAGAGCTCAATATGGCTTGTGCGATCCTCTCCTCATCAACTGCGCTTAGTTTCCTTATGGTTCTAATTCAGAGAAATGTGTTTTATTAATGCAGAGAAATGTGTTGAACTGATTTTAATCTTGCAGATACCTTTAGTTTCAATCGTGTGATGCGACTATTTTACTCAAGAACTGCAGAAAGTTTCGCAAAGTAAATTTAGATTATGCGCGCTGAGCACACCTATTAAATGTAGCGTTCTGCTGGTAGCATCATCTCAAAAGAAACTACCTCTCTCTCATTGCTGTGAAAACAGCACACTAGTACACCGTGGCCCTGGTTTTGCCTCTGGCTTGCTTCTGAGCTGCTGGTTACAATTGTGGAAAGATGCCTTTTTCGATGCCAATGCTTTTGGTACTTCTCACGCTTGGTCAATATGGTCAGCGCAGCTGTAGACGATAAGAATAGCATAGAATAAGGCATGAGTCACCGCTCCATGATACTACACCTCGATCTTGGCCTTGTCGGGTACCATTTGATGGCAGACAACTGCTGGTGTTTGTGTGTTATTGAAATTCTTTCACAAAAGCCGTTGTGGCTGTTGGTTCAGCGTGCTTTTCGACATAGCGTCGCTATGCATCGCGTCGTGAAACTGCTGCAAAAGAGAAAGAAGCGGCCAACACTTTTTGAATTTGGGAATGCGTTTACTTTGTTGGCTCAGGTCAGCTATATTTTTTCGGTTTTACTATAACAAAACATTTTCACTTAAAAAGGCCTTGAAACACTTTTTCAAATAACCATGGAATAGATTCACTTAAAGAGCTTATTGCCACACGAATTCAAGGCCACAAAAGTTTTAAGTATTTGTCCAGTACGAGCGGAGTTTCAAAGATTTGTTGCACGCTGCGCGCTGCGATCGCATTCTCTCTTCTCTCATCACGACGAAAGCTCTGAAAGCTAAGTGGTGGGGGGGGGGGAATGGGCAGCAAAAATACATTACGTGCACCTCGTGACCTTGAGCATGTTTTTTTTTTTTTTTTCGAATGCGCAGTTTTTTCAGTGTGATCGCGTGGACAAGTCGTGGCCACCCGCGGTGATCCCTGCAACAGCCGAGCGCGCTTTGTTCAAATCAGCCAATGTCTGATAGATGGCCTTTTACGAGCGATTTTTGAGCGTCTTCCGTCATTTGCTGAGAAAAGAAAAAGGAATTTTCAGCTGACTTTGCTAATTTATTGTGAATACCAGGCCGCGTGCTGCACTATAATATTTGGCCCGCATGTTCTCGAGATCAGCAGCGTTTTCTGACCATGCTCGAAAAGTGTTGCAGGCCCAGGAAATGTTTTCCAGGCCCCCTCAGTTTCATTGTATTCACACAAGCCTAACGCCTTGAAATGCAGGTCATGGGTGGCCTGGACTCGAACATGTTCAACTACTTCAAGGTGCTCATTCTGCAAGGGCTGGTGGCTGCACGTAAGCACCACGAGCGCATCATCACCCTCGTCGAAATCTTGCAGTCGAATGCGCGGCTGCCCTGCTTCCAGTGGCACGGGGCCAGTGCTGTGCGTGCTCTCCGCGAACGCTTCCACATGGGCTGCACCGAGGAGAGACTGCAGATGCTCGTTGACTCCCTCGTTGAAAGCAGCATGCACTCGCTCACAACGCGCCTGTATGACAATTTCCAGTACTTCACAAATGGCATTCTCTAGGCTGGCTTTTCTTGACCATGGGCCGCCAAGCTTCTTGCCTGGTGGCCAGAGGTATTCGGCTTTTTTTGCATGCTCAGTCGTTGCAGGCTTACAAGTTATGGCCGGCTCTTTGAGCCAGCTTCTTGGCCCAACTTGCTTGACGTGGTTCTGTTTTTTTTTTTTTTTTTTACAGCATTGTAGCAGGACCATTGTTTCAGATGCTGATAGTTGGGCCTGTGCCGAGCAATCTTAGTAGGCCTTGTATATAGTACTGCATAGGATGTCCTCCCCCATAGAGACACTTTCGGTGTCCCTTCATCACCATTGCCAACTGGCATCTGTAAATAATTTTATTTTGTTGAAGCATTAGCCAGACAGCTGCTTCAGCTCACTAATAACAAACAAGATGTTGCGAACGTAAACAGCTTTGTGGATTAGCGGGGGTGCCATCAGTCTACAGGATGGATCATATTATATTTTTTATTGAAGGTGTCTGTATATACCAGTGCAGCAGTTAAGACTGCGAAATGTTAATATTTGGGGTTTTCTTTTCTTGAGAACTGTATCAAAAGTGATTTGTCATACTGAAGAAGTACCTGGCATGTGGTGCCAATGCAACGCTAAGATTCTTGTGGGGCAGAAGGACACCCCAACTATGCCCCCCCCCCCCTTTTTTTATTGCAGTGTGGTTCGCAAAACGCCTGCTGTTGTACTGTACTTTATGAACAGATCACTACGTACTTTTTCGTATGTGCTGCGTCAACAGAGTTTGTCTTGTCCTTGCATACACCTGGGAAGCTCGCCGGCCTTAATTGCACAGTGGCTAGTTGACGAAGCTGCACTATTGCTTGATGAGAGGAAACGTCTGTTGTTGAGCTGGACCACTTTGTAAAATGTGTGCACTGCCTTGTAAATACAGCTGGTGATTCTTATGTACATTTTATGCATGTTATAAGAACCCGTGTGTCTTAAGAGTGGGAACCCTGTGGGCCGTCCAGTCTTGCTTCTTTGACTGGTGTATGCATTTAACCGTTAGGCTAGTGATGTGAACGAGGACTTGCATTGTTCAGTAGTGACCCTCTTTTGGCTATGCTTTTACTTGGTATGTCATCCAGAAATTAACCTTTCACAAACAGGATTGCTCAATGGATGGAGTTGCTCAGTGATTTCAAAGCGACTTCAGGCTTGATATACCTTGCCTAAACGTTGGGCTTAGCATGCTGGTGCTGAGATGGAGTACAGTTGGAGGTCAGAGCACTCCGGCAGTGGTACAAAAAGACTAAGCCTTTTTCCAGCAGTGATTGCTATAAGTCATCATGGGCTCTGCCTGAGTGCTCAACCTGAATGAAGATGCCAATGATGCGGAGCGATAAGTGCACTTGTGGATGATGGTGCTTTCAGAGTAGCTGGATCTTGCATCGGCATTCCAGTGCTTTAATTTGGCTTGGGGTGCGCCATACTTGAGCCAACCCCTTGCATTGTAGCTACTCATTTTTTGTTTTTAGCGCGTCTCAGCTTGCCATCATTCTGCTGCTCCACAAGTGCAGGATGCCCAGCAGGGTGATAGCACTTTGTTGATGATGATAGTGTAAAGAAATTGCTCCATAAAAGTAGGCAGGTGCTGTAAAGACTATTTTTTCAGACTTTCCTTCCTACTAATGTGTAAATAGTGTGCTACTAGATACTTCAACTAATAGTTATATATGCTGTTATATGGCATCCTGAGTCACAGCAAGCCTTCATCTACTGCGTGACAACCTCTTTTGCATTTTCTTCCATTGAAGAAAGGTGCTTGGCTCTCGGGTGCTTCTGTGCATGCCACCACAAATTTTCAAGGTCTGGGAATCTGAAGATGGAGCCAAGCTGCATGTGCAGTCCAACATTGCTTTCTGTATGCAAAATGAAGTGTTATGATCAGTGTGCTGTAATATAATGACAATTAAATTTTCTTTTCTAGTGATTCATTCTGGTACTTTACTGAAGTGTGCCTTTACAAAGCAGTGTGAGCACTGATTGTCAAGCAAAATTGTGCTTTCCCGAGGAAAGTTTTCAAATGCGCACTCATTTCTGTTGCTGCTCTGTACATGGGTGGATCAAGAAATGTTTACTGTAGGCATAACACATTAAATTTTTCCCACCTGCCTTGTATGACAGTGATGGCCAACATTGTGAATACCCACTTTCTAGCCATTGTGCATGCTCGAAAACATGGCCCCCTTGTTCAGAATTTTTCACTAAATAACTCAGTTGAAATGGTCAAGTGTTTTGTTTTCCTCATGGAAAAATGATACCATTCAAGGCAGTACTGCTTATAAAAGTTGCTGACAGCAGTGTTGGACCAACTGCTAAATCATTTTGCTACAGAACCTACTTTCCTACTCCGATCCAAGTATACAGTTTGCACCAAAGTTGACATTCCACCTGCCTAAGCTGTGGCAGGTTTAAAGACATTTTGGCTAGTATTCTAACACCGCTTCAGTTGTTCTTTTTCCATACTACCACATAACCAGTCCCCGATTCTGTGTATTGAAGTGCTTCGCTGGCTCGCTAGTTTGCGTACGTGCAGCCTCAGTTATTGGTGGCATTAAATCAGCGCGTCACTCATGATAGAAAACCAACAGTATACAAGCACTTTTTTTTTTCCAAGCTTATACGCGCAATCCTAATGTATAGTACATGCCAGCCAGGTCGCAGTTTGGGCGCTGCGTGCTGTCAGTGGTGTGTTCACGCAAGTGAAGATGTGGGCGTGCTTCATATTTTGCAAAATACTTCTTGGCATTCGCCATGCACATCGACTGTCCCACCACCAAGCAGATGTCAGCAGAAACCCGTTGTGAGCAGTTGACAAAGCGGCAGCCACTCCCTTGTTCTGCCGTGCTAGGCCAATTGTAAAAGCATTAAGTAGAAAGAAAGATAACTTTGCATGTTTCATTCATCAGTGAGCAAGCTGAGCTGTGCATTACTAGATAGACATTCTGATCCTTTCTTTTAAGACGCGAAGTTTGCTTGAAAATATATGTTGAAGCACCCTGGGCAAGTTGTGTTGGTAGTGAGCAATTCGCTGGAGCGATGCACTACGTGGCAGACCGGCAGTTGCGAGAGCCAGTGGCACTGCAGTCAAGTAGCTCCCGCAGCTGGCGCACGTTCATGATCAGCACCGGGGACGTGCAAGTGGTTAAAGCAAATAATATTCACATGTCACTGCTGCGACTGCTTTTGACCCTGTTTTATACAAAAACACTTGTGTCATGTATGAAATGTGGTGAGGAGGTATAGATGAATGCATTGATGGAGTGGTATGCCTACTTGCTTTGCACAGGTAGAGCGTCGCTGGGCTGCAAGAGCGGCTACAACTCTGCTTCATGCCACTATTTTATTATTTACTAGTTTATTTTTAATTCTCAACATGAGAATGTAAATGTAAGGGCTCGTTTTTTTTTCTTCTTTTTTACAGCGAAAGCTGTTATGAGATCGCAACTCGGGTCACACGTTGTAGTTGTCTGCCGCCGGTGTCTGTAAACACATTGCACGAAAAACCTAGTACCAAAGAGACGGGCTCAAATCTGTGTCCACTTTGTGCGAGCCGAGTATTCTATCACTGTGCCACGCCGGTGCTTGGGACTTGTCGGCAAACTTACCTCAGGCAGGTTTGATGTTGAGAAAGCAGTGCTTGGGACTTGTCGGCAAACTTACCTCAGGCAGGTTTGATGTTGAGAAAGCAATCTCGGTAATACGGCTTATAAAGCACTTTAAAACAGAGAAAGAACAACCAGTCGTCGCAGAATGCGAATAGTGTAACTAGTGGGTCGTCCAATGCTCCAACCCATTACAAAACCTTGTTCTTGTTCACCTGTGTACTCTGGCGCATACCCGCTTCAGGCATAATTCTTCGTCATGAGCCACTGCATGAACAATTGGCACGAAATTCCTTGCAAATGTTTAGCGGATACCACGCTTCTCTGAAGAATGACAAAAATAGCATAAGAAGTGCCAGCCTACTACACAAAAATGTTTATTATTAATCAGTGGCGTGGCCAGGGGGGGTTCAACCCCCCCTCCTGCCGTTTACCCAACTTATTTTTTTATCGTCACTTCACACTGACACTATCTAGAAGCTAAATGCTGATACCACCGACCCAACATTTTATTTTTTGTCGCTTCGTGCTGACACGATTTAGAAACTAAGCGCTGGTACTACAACAATATCATTCCTGAATGCTTTTACAATTAATAATGTCTGCATACGGAAAAACTTGTCACGTTGTTTCTCAAGGCTTTGGCACTCTGTGAGGTTTCGGGCAGTAATCTTGGCCGCGAGTGTTTTAAGTTGGCTCGGCGATGGGATTAATGCTTAAGCGGTGGTCATGTATATACTTGTAACCGCCGAAACCGATCTCGCCGGAGTTGATCACTACGATAATTTTCAATAGACAGAGGTTCGTTCTAATGGAAAAAGCCAGACACAGTTCTAAGGTCTGACAGGTCACGTTCAAGCATAGCCCCGCCGCGGTGGTCTAGTGGCTAAGGTACTCGGCTGCTGACCCGCAGGTCGCGGGTTCGATTCCCGGCTGCGGCGGCTGCATTTCCGATGGAGGCGGAAATGTTGTAGGCCCGTGTACTCAGATTTGGGTGCACGTTAAAGAACCCCAGGTGGTCAAAATTTCCGGAGCCCTCCACTACGGCGTCTCTCATAATCAAATGGTGGTTTTGGGACGTTAAACCCCACAAATCAATCAACGTTCAAGCATATTACAGTGTGACTCTTCGTATCTGTGCTAAGATATACTCAGGCCAGAGAATAACATTTTTATTGAACCTTCGCACGTTCTGCTAACATCTAAACGGCTGCAAACACACACACACCCATGCGCGCGACAAAATATTCGGTTCATACACCTTCTTCGGTTTGTATGCTAATGTACGGTATATATCTTTACTACGCCATAACGTCTGAAGTGTTCGAAGTGTAGTCTAGTGACAAAGGTGCAACACAGGCAAACTTGCAGGCCAATCACAGCCTTAGAAAGGCCTACTAAAATACTCATCATGTAACTTAGGCTGATAAATAAAAAGATGGTGGTCATAAAGCTAAATATGCATAATGAGAAAGGCAGTGTGAGCAGCTGTAGTGAGCACAAGCTTTATTGTCCAGCACTGTGGCAAACAGTGTAAGAATAAGGAACACAAAGCTGAAAAAATATACCACAAATTATATATAGTGATTTGCTTCATCTGTTCGTTTCTTCATTTACATGAGTAGAAGGGCACACCAACTAGCGACGTGACGCACTACAAGAAATGCACAGAATGAAGAAACATGGGTGGGCATGTTATCACGTAAAATTATGAGCAATATATGTAGCAACCATATTTTTTACAAAAAGAATACTATGCAAGCAATGTCTAATGCAGCAAACAGACGCATGACACAGTGGAATAGTGTTGATTATTGTTTTTAATTGACACGAAGATTATCCTGCGCACTACATGTCATAGTATATGCCCCATAAGTTACCCAAAATTTGCGAGAATTGCCACATTGTGTTGCATTCCCGTTCACACCTTTCGTATTCGCGAACCACGTCTGCAAGTGAAAGGGGCCACTGAAACGCAAGAAGGAGGCAACATGAGTGAACTGAATCACTCTGCCATGCTGTCAAAGTGATTTTCATCAATATGTCTCATACAATTGAACTTGCTTCCTTACAGCTGGACGAAAAGTGGCGCATACCGATTTTACCAAGGCCGTCCTTTTTACTGCCAACCAGGGTGGTCCAGTGGTTATAGTGCTCTATTGTTACCCGCAGGTAGGGGGATCGAATCCCTCCAATGGTCAGCCAGCAGTCAAGTCACTGGCAATTGACATGCTGTAAATAAAATAAGGATCTTAATTTCCGTGCTATAGTGTAAAAATATCAGTCTTTTTGTTTCTTTCATATTTTCAGTCTTAGTACAGTACGTACTAGTCTGTATACTAAGCAAGATGGGGAATAAACAATGAAGAGCATTAGTTGGTTCACTAACATAATTGCTCTTAAGAAACCAAAACAATGTGTGCATTAAATATCTACCAAAATAAACAAAAATGAGCTATTAACACGAATTATACAAGGCAGTAGCAATTTTTTTTATTAATGGGTAGTGTCATGTTATGAAACCAAAAGACACAGAAGTTGAGAGGAAGACTCAAGCTTAAATAGATGAAAAATTTGTGGACACGGGTTGTCGCTAGAGCCACCGTCTCAACATGTGGACTTCTTCAAGGCTGCAACTGCCGACCTTATCTGAATTGTGTAGGGCAGATTTATCAAGATGAAGAAAACCCACATTCACTGGGGCTAACAATCAGCAAATGACCACAAAACATTTCACATATGCTGTACCAAAAATGCAAAAGTCATCCCTTGCCTACCTTAGTGCATTTTCTATATTCTTCATGCCCTCTCCTCCAACTTCAAGCACGGAAGGCCACATGCGAAAATAGGGAGATGAAAACGAGGAGTCGGCATGCTGAATCGGGCGAGTTAAAAGCCGGTCCCCCGTGATGGGTTGTGCCAGGGTAAAAAGGACAATCAATAAAAAGCCCATGAAACAAAGAAATAAGGGGCAGGAGGGAGCGATGGTTTTGCATGGATGGGTAGAGAAGGAAAAAACATTTTGCTGAATTATCTTTGTCTCGAAGATGCACCACCTGACAATGGAGATAATTAGCCTTAAAAATTCCTTGATAATGGCTTATTTTTTGGGGGGGTTTCGTTGTGTATGTGCCATATCAAATTAGTTAAAGTGCTTTCTTTGAAACATTTATGCTTGTTGGCTGGAATATATAAAGCTTGTGAATAAGGTGTGGCAATGTTTTTTTTTTTTTTTTTTTTCAGAAAGCTGGCTAAGGTATTTAAGGTTTAAGATCGTTGAAGGTATGACCTGCCACTATAAAGTGCTGTACCATTGCTTCCAGTTATTTGCCATGCCTGCTTGATGCCTATTTAATGAAACATTTACAGGTTGTCCTGTTTGTTCGGTACATAGGGTTGAGAGCTGGGCGAGTTGGCGAGATATTATTTTAACATGTGGTGTAGTATTGCAACTTTGTCGAGAAAACAGAGCACAAGAAAAGCGAGTGTCGTGTTTTCTTGTCCTCTATGT